TAGGCATTAAGTCCCGCAGACAGTATTGGTTGGACCTTACTCCACCTCCACCATCTGTCGCGGTCTCCACGCACAACGCCACTTCGCTCGACATTATCCATCACTGGTTTGGTCACCTGAACTGGGAGGCGGTACGCAAGCTTGCAGCTGCTGATTCCTCTCCGGTCAAAGGCCTCATTGCCGCCGATATGGATAAACCTTCGTACCCCTGCGAAGGCTGCGTCTTGGGCAAAGCACACAGGCGTACATTCCCCACATCATCCACCTCACGCGCTAACAAACCCTTTGACCTCGGTCATTCTGACCTCGACGGACCTATGTCAGTGGTATCACTCACAGGCCACCGATACTTCGCCACCTTCATCGACGACTGCTCCAACGTCACCTGGGTCTACTATCTACGAACAAAGGATGAGTTCCTCTCCGTGTTCAAAGACTTCGTAGCCCTCGTCGCACGACAGTTCAATACAGTCATCAAGGTCTTCTGGTCAGATCAAGGGGGTGAATACCAGTCCAACGAGTTCATCAACTTGTTGAAGAAATCTGGAATCATCCACGAGCGCACGATACCTGGTACCCCACAGCAAAACGGCAAAGCTGAGCGCATGAACCGCATGCTCGTAGAGGCCGCTAAGTCAATGCTACAAACTGCCGGATTATCACATGGATTCTGGGAAGAAGCTGTTCACACAGCTGTGCACGTATGCAACAGAGGCCCTAAGAAAGCCATTGCATGGCGTACGCCTTTGGAACAACTCACTGGCACCACACCGGACGTGTCCCACTTCCGGGTCTTCGGTTGCCAGGCCTATCGCCATATACCCGGGGATAAATGCAAGAAACTTGACGCTAACGCTGAGAGCCTAGTGTTTATCAGCTACAAGACGAATTCTAAAGGTTATCGTCTATGGAATAAACGTAGCAGAAAGATCACCACGAGTACTGATGTGATATTCGACGAGTCAATCTTCCCCAACAAACTCCTACCCTCACCATCCTCGACACAACCGACTGGATCTACATCCACGCTGCCGCCATCTGTCAAACTCAAACTACCACCCCTTAACACGCCACCGGCTCCTACGCAGCCGACACCGCCTGTACCACCTCCTACTCAACCCAACACACTGAAACCGTCTACAGCATCCCAGATACTACGCCTTACACCTTGAACAGAGTTGTATCCAGCTCTGCCAAACCTGCCAAGTGCACCGGTCAAGCCTGAATTCAAAGGCAAGACCAAAGCCTCACCCTCTCGTGTTGTCGCACCACCGCCACTCCAGCCAAATCCCAACACAACCTCGTGGGACTACAATCCCTTCACCAATCCTGAGCATGCTACAATGTCATCAGGCATTTGCCGCGGTACCCACGAGCGCAAAGCAACTCAGAAATGGACGAGTATTTGGCCCAGAGCGACCGAAGCAGACATCGAGGAAGCACTGAACACAGGCAAGGAACCAGGCGACATTGCTGCAATCGTAGGCGACTCCTCCATTGCTGGAGAACTGCGAACCTACAAACAAGCAGCTGACGCACCGGACTCAGCGGAGTGGATGACTGCCATGCAGGCCAAAATCGACGGCCTCCTGGAACAAGGCACCTGGGAACTTGTCGACCTACCTAAGGGTCGCAAGGCAATTAAGTGCAAATGGGTATACATTGTCAAGCGCAACGAGAACGGAGAAGTGGATTGCTACAAGGCAAGGCTCGTAGCCAAGGGGTTCACGCAAGTTCAAGGCATTGATTACGAAGATACCTTCGCTTCCGTCGCCCGTCTGAAGTCCTGGTGATACCTCATCGCCCTAGCGACCATCCAGGCTGGGAAATCCATCAGATCGACTTTGATAGAGCATATCTGAACGGAGAACTCGACGAGGAGCTCTACATGGAGCAACCTGAAGGTTTCGTAACGGACGCAGGCAAAGTATGCCACCTGCGGAAAGCAATATACGGGTTAAAACAAGCGGGACAAACATGGTTCCTCACGCTGAAAGCCTGTCTCGAGGACATTGGATTCGCATGCCATGACGCCGGCGACGTATCCATCTTCATTCGCCATCAACGAGGGGGATCCACTCAAATTTTAGTGGTTTACGTTGACGACCTAACTATGATGGAAAACAGCCTCGATCTCATCCAACAAATGAAAGAGGCCCTGAAGGAAAGGTTCCAACTCAAGAACCTTGGCGAACTCAAGTACTACCTCAGCATCCGCATCACAAGGGATAGGGGGAGTTCAGTCACATACCTCGACCAGGAAACGTACATCGAGTCCGTTCTCAAACGATTCAGATACGAAAACTGCAACTCTGCATCCACACCACTTGGCACTGACATTGTACTCGAGAAGAATGAGGAAGACCCCACAGACTGTCCACAAGACCGCATCAAACTCTACCGCTCACTCCTTGGCTCACTCATGTACGCCATGCTTGGGACTCGTCTCGACATCGGCTTCGCCATCGCCCGACTTTGCCAATACCAGGCAAACCCTTCACTGAAACACGTAGCTGCCGCCTATCATGTTCTCAAGTACCTTCGCGGCACCTCCAACTATCGACTCTGTCTAGGTCAAAACGACGAGACCGATAGCCGTTTGCTTGGTTACACTGACGCAGACTTCGCGAACGACAAGGACAACTCCGTCTCAACATCCGGCTGGGTTTACAAACTCGGTAGAGGCGCGACCAATTGGTCTTCTTGCAAGCAACGCTCTGTGACTCGAGACACCTTTGACACAGAGTACTTCGCAGCCGACGAAGCAGTCCGACATTTACAGTGGCTCGAAATCTTCGCTGAGTATATCGAACACCCACTCGCGAAGCCTGTCCCTCTCCACTGCGACAACAAATCTGTCGTTGATGCTGCCCAGTCACCCAACGTCAAGCATCGCACAAAACACACCCGCGTCAAAGCTCACGCTGTTCACGAGCAATTCGAAGCAGGTCTGATCGAACTTGTTAGGATTCCCGGTGTCGACAATCTGGCTGATATTCTCACAAAGCCTTTACCGGCTGAGGTACACAACCGTCACACCCAGTCTCTTGGCCTCGTTCCGTATCACCTCGCCAAGGGGGAGTGTTGAAGCGCCTAGTGGCTCTGGCTCGGCATTCCGCCTGGCATGGACTTAAGGTGGACATCTTAGATTAGGCGCTACTAATACGTAGATAGTGATTGGTCAATCATATGTAGTGCTCCCATGCACGGACCTCTTTATGGCAGGCTTCCCCATTCTAGCGGACTTTCAAATTAGCTTCCTTTTTGTATATAAGGACTCCTCTCGCATCTCCACTCTGCGTGCTCTTTCCCTTCGCACCCAGAGTAAGTCCCTTCGTCGCTCTTGCGCAGTATGCACTTATGCTTACGCGCTGTATAGCTAATCCCCCCATGTGTATTAGGTTAGAACTATACAGCGTGCTCTTTCCCTTCGCACCCAGACTAATCCCCCCGTGTGTATTAGATTGTGCCTGTGTGCCACTCGCCAGTTCGCGCTCGCACAGCCCAGTCGTTGTATCACGACAATATCGAGCTGACTATGGTGAGGAGGTTTGCACCGTTATCCGCCAGCTGTTTCCTGATCCTAGCTGTGCAATATAGGTACTTAGAATGTATCTGGTTCCTGGGGATGTCGATGGCGGGTGAGAAGTTGTGGAAGGTGAACTCACGTGGCAAGATTACGAACGCATCGTCTCGCCACTGAAATGTGCTAAATAGGCAGTACAGGGGGAGCAGCCGCGTCTTACAGTATCTTCGCTATGTCTTAACAAGGCATCGAAATCACGGCCTCAAGGCCGCTCCGCCACGACATGAGAGACCCAGAGGTCGAGGGCGCTCGAGGTGCTCGAGGACGTCAACACACGTGTCTATATTTCCGTCCAGCGCGATCCGACGCAGTCCAGGCAGACGCACAGCCGAGAATGCAGGTCGGTAGTGTGCACGGACGAGAAACCGATGTGCCAGAGTCCCGAGACGCGGGCAGGGAGCGCAGCCCCAGTGTCCGAGGAAAGAGATCTGGGCCGAGTGGGATGGAAGCTACACGAGGCGTACTGGGGCATCTTTGAACTGCAGCAGCGGGTGCGCGCCCATTGACAGGTCGTCGTCTTGGCCTCCCGAGACCTTGCAATGCCGCAAGCGCGGGGCGGTCCGTTTCCCTCCTAGTGCTCTGACGCGATTGTGACCCACCGCACTTGTCGACTTCTCTGCGACATTGATGGGCAGATATTCCGGCAGAAGAGCCATGGCGGCGTCTCGTGGAGCGGCTGACATTCCTCTCGTAGCGCGAAGAGAGTTGGGGGGTTCGGACACACTATATGCGAGCCACAGAAGCACGTCTCATGTGTAGGACACTTGGAGGCCCGACGGTAGACAAAGGGCGTCGAGGGGGCGGCTTTTGGAATCCGCGACTGCCAGTTTCGTGCTGTCATAGTGGCAGACGACCATGTTGCCCCAGAGCTTGGGCATCCGAGCGCGACCGTGCGCTGCCCTCTGTAAACTCTCGTTGCCTCGCCAAAGGAGTGGTAGTTTCTCCCTACTCGCTTGTTGGACTGGTCGTCCGGAATGTTTGCCAGGCCTGAAGCTGGGGGCGAGGACAGAGTCGGCCGGAGATTACGGGAACGGGACGAGAGACGCCAAGCGCCACAACGGTGATGTGGGTCACGTGGCACGACGACAAAGTTCGAATGCTTTTCACGCGACCCTGTCGTCCTTGGCTTCTGTCTCCCAGGCTGTCTCTCACATGGTCCCCTGTTCTCAGATCAGACAGGCCCAACAGAAGTTTTGGTCCGGGACCAACGAAGACTTGCGCTGTCCTGGCCAGATTCCCCCGCCAAACCAAGCCGTCGTGGCACAGGCTCGGGCGACCGCTCTCGGACGCACGTTGGTCGATAGCCGTTCGCCCCATTTTCCACTCGACAGAACCCGCATGGCTTGCGTCTCGCCGGGCCGCTCGTATGCACCGAGAGCCTCTTATCTCTTGAACGCACCCAAACTTTAGACGCGCGCACAGAAAGCAGCATGTGCTGCATGGGCTTCTATGAAAGCCTGCTCTCAAAGTGGCTTTCCAGGCGAACCTTGCCCAACGACTTTGGCAGGGATGCCTGCCCGCATCACTCGCCGCACACCAATTGTGGCGAGGGAACTCCTCCATCCGATCACTGGCGCTCATCCCGGTCGGCAGGGTTTAGCAGGAAGTCGTTCTCTATAAAGACCCCCCCCCGGAGTCGCGCTGCCCACCCCGAACGAACGATCTCCCCTCCGACAGCTCTGCCATGAGCCACACGTTTTCGCACACGGATGAACCAGAGAAGGCCGCCTCTCTGAACGAGAAGAGCCCTGATGTCCTCGCCGTCCCTGGCATCTTTGCCGAGTCCAAGGACGTCTACGATGGCGAAGAATCTGGAGTAGACCCGGTGTACCATGCCAAGGCGCGGCTGCTGAACCAGGCCATCCAGGAGATTGGGATGGGAAAGTACCAAGTCCGTCGTGTTCGCACACAATCTGCTACTTCACCTGATTTTTCAATCATAGTGGTATCTCTTCTGCCTTACGGGCTTTGGATGGTTCTCGTAAGCACAAATTCTCGGACACTTTACTGCATGTACTAACTTGGTCCAAGAGATAACCTATGGCCCGTACGCCCTCCCTGCCGTTTGCGCGTCTACGCAGCCTGATACTCGCTTCAGATCGTGACCAATCTGATCCTCACTCCCACCATGGCCGAATTCGGCGGCTCAGGTGCTTGGATCAAGCTCGGCCAAGCGATTGGTCTCCTCATCGGAGCCGCTTTCTGGGGCCTCGCCGCTGACGTATGGGGCAGACGGTGCGCCATCCGTATATCCCTCTGTTCCGGATGTCCCGCTGACCATCGGACCCCACCAGCTGGGCCTTCAACATCACCCTTTTCCTGACAGGCGTCTTCGCCCTCGCCGCGAGCGGTGCGCCGAACCTCGTCGCGCTCTGCGCCCTCGTCACGGTGTGGAGCATAGGCGTCGGCGGGAACCTCCCCGTCGACTCTGCCGTCTTCCTCGGTCAGCCTCCGTTTCCTCTCTTTGCCAGGTCTCCCGGGTCACTGACCGCACGTCTCACCTTTTGCCCAGAGTTCGTGCCGGCCTCGCACCAGTACCTGCTCACGGTGCTCTCCATCTGGTGGGCGCTCGGCCAGCTCGTGGGGAGCCTGCTCGCGTGGCCGCTGATCGTGAACTTCTCGTGCGCGGGCACGACGCCCGCGACGTGCCCCCGGGCGGACAACCGCGGCTGGCGCTACTTCATGATCTGCATGGGCGGCATCATGCTCGTCCTGTCCTTCCTCCGCTTCGCCGTCTTCCGCCTGTACGAGTCGCCCAAGTACCTCATGGGCCGCGGACGCGACGCCGAGGCGGTGCAGGTCGTGCACACCCTCGCCGCGTTCAACGGACGCACGAGCAGCCTCACGCTCGAGATGCTCCGCGACGTCGAGGAGGCTGCGCGCGCGGACGCAGGCGTGGAGGGTGGGGATGATGCGCCGCGCATCGACACGAGCGCGCGCGGCGCGCTGTTGAGGAAGCTCCGGGTCCTGAGCACGACGCACCTGCGTTCGCTGTTCGCGACGCGGAAGCTGGCGTACTCGACGACGCTGCTGATGCTCGTCTGGGGTGCGTCCTGCCCCTGTTCTTTTTGACTTCGATGAGGAAAAAAAACCGCGACTGACCAAGCCGACGGCTGTTGCTCCTGACAGGCCTCATCGGGCTCGCGTTTCCCCTGTCAGTACCATCGCATCTCTCGCCGTTCGTGCACTGACAGCCCGTCCAGGTACAACGGCTTCGTCACGTACTTGTGAGTCGCTCTGTCCTCCTCTACCGCCCTCTCCCCTGGTGTATATACTGTCTGACGCGCGCACACACAGCTTCGAGACACGCGGCGCCGAGTTCGGCGACGGCTCCGTGAACATCACCTATCGCAACGTGCGCAAACGCGTTTTTCTCTATTTTGTCTGCTCTCGCGACGCTGACGCGTCTCCCCCCGGGAACAGCAAGTCATCCTGAGCGTGATCGGCGTGCCAGGCGCACTCCTCGCGGGCTGGCTCGTCGAGCTGCCGTACCTCGGGCGGCGGGGCACCCTCGCGGTCTCCACCGGTGCGTGTGTGCGCCCTTCCGTTCTCCCACATCTCCTCCCCACGGTCTCTCGAAAAGAAGGAAACGACAGAGCTGACATTTTTCTTTTCTTTTCTTTTCCTCTGTTGGCTGCAGTGCTGACGGGCGTGTTCCTGTTCGCGAGCACGACGTCACGCACGTCGGACGCGCTGCTCGGCTGGAACTGCGGCTACACCTTCACGTCGAACGTCATGTACGGCGTCCTCTACGCCGTCTCGCCCGAGCTCTTCCCGACCAAGGACCGCGGGACGGGCAACGCGCTCGTCGCGATCTCGAACCGCATCTTCGGCATCATGGTGCGTGCCCAATCCCCTCCCCATTCCCTGCAGGACATGACTGAAACCGAAAATTGAACGTAGGCACCGATCATCGCGCTCGAGTCGAACCTGCAGACGTCCGTCCCGATCTTCGTCGCCGCGGCGCTGTTCATCGGCGGAGGCGTCATCGCGATCCTCCTGCCCTTCGAGCCGCGGGGCAAGGCATCGATATAGGCTGCGTGTATCACCTAACATTTGTGGATGAAAGGGGGTATCCTGTTTTGTGAGAATAAAACATAACCATGTACTTATACAAAAACGTGGGCCAACTCGCATACTACAGAAACAAGTCTCAAGTAGGAAAAAGGGTGTCGCGAAAGAATAAAACATAATCATGTACTTATACAAAAACGTGGGCAAACTCGCATACTACGGAAATAAGTCTCAAGTAGGGAAAAGGGTGTCGCGAGAACGGTGAGGGACGGGAGGCACGAGACCGTCGGAATAGTAAATATGACAGGCACGCAGGCGAGAACGTTATCGCCAGGCTAGACGAACTCGAGGACCCCCTTCTTCGCCAGGCGCGGGAGCAGCCGCCCGAGCTGCTCGCGCTCGCCCTTCTCAAACCGCCCGCGCACAGACTCCTTGAGGCGGACGACGCGCAGCCCGCCGTCTGTGTCGGCGTCGACGCGCTCGGCGAGGAGGCCGTCGAGAAGCGTCCACTCGCCCTGGAGGGGCACGCCGCCGACGGCGACGACGGCGGGGACGGGCTCAGCAGCAGCAGCGCCTGCACCGGCGCCTGCGCGGCGGCGCGCGGCGAAAATGCCCGTCATCTGTAAGCACGCGATACGGAGCGTGAGCGTGTGGAGGGTCGGCGCGAAGGCGCGCACGAGCGCGGCGAGCGTCGCGTACGCGGTGCCGTACAGGAAGACGTCGACGGTGGCGTCGGCGGTGGCGGTGGGGGCAACGGCGGTGGCGTCGGAGCGCGCGTCCGGGTCCGCTGGGAAGACGAGTGCGCCGAGCGCGATGCTCGCGGACTCGAGTGTGGGGAGCAGTGCGAGGTCGAGCGGCGCGAGGTCCGGGGGCGAGAGCTGGGCCTTGTACTGCGCGAGGCTCGGCGAGTCGAGCAGCGTGAAGGCGAGGTGCCGCAGCGAGCGCCCGGCGGCGGCGAAGAAGGGCTCCAGGGCGTAGTACGGGATCTCGGGCAGGTTGAGCGAGTGCAGGGTCGAGATGTTGGGGAGGAGTGCGAGGTATTCTAGGATGTCGGGCCGCGGACGCACTTCGAGCGAGTGGATCTTGGTCGCGACGCGCGATGCGAGGGCCGCGGTGTCCTCTCCGAGCTCTTCGACGCGGCCGTCGATGCAGGAGATGAACACGGTGTCCACCTCCCCGAAGAGGCTGAGCAGGTGGAAGAGGCCCCCAGCGGACTGGGCCCCACCGAATAACTTCCAGCCAATCAACCGGAGTGCCTTCAAGGAGCTCACGATGGGGGAACCGAAGAGTAGAGATTCTGGGGCTGAAAATGAGATCCCGTCCATCTCTAGGGTGTGCAAGTTGGGCAAGCACTTGATGATCTCGATCAGAGTCTCGAGTCGTGACTCTTCGAAGAATGCATGGCGGCCTCCACCGCGAGACCATAGCTTGCGCCATAGGCACAAGTGGCGTATGTGTGCGCAGACATCGGAGCTAGCCCGCAGGTAGGCGAGCACATCGTCCAAAGACTCGGGGAGGTGGGGGGTGTGGTGATATGACGAGTCGATATGCTGCCTACGTTGCAGGCGACAGATCAGCTTTCTGAAGAGGATCCCTCGAGAGAGTTCAAGGAAATCGCGTGACACCAAGGAGCACACGGAGAGACATGCTTTGTCAAGCTGGTGCAATACGATAAGTAGGAGCTCGACGGGTAGCCGGAGCTCTTCTGTGCAGGCCATCTTTCGGGACGGCTTGAGAGAGATAAGCGTGTTGTCAAGAACTGCGCGAGCCTAAAGCACTCACAGCTTATCTCAAGGAGGGCGAAAGCCAAGCAGCGTCGTAACCACCTGAAGCCCAAGCTGGTGGTCAGTCGTGGAAGGGCTGGTTCATCTTTATGCTGCACACCTTTGCGCAGGATGGTATGCGAGCGCGTGGATGTCGTTGCAAAGGAGACCGGGTGCCGAAAAGCTAGCTCCACGAGTCAACCGCTTTAGGCCCCTATATAAACTCTATACTTGGCTTATCTTCGTCACACAGCATCCGATCATACGGTGTATTGGGAGGTGCAAAATAAGATACATGTTATGTTATGTGCATGTTGCATATAGGTAAAAATAACTGTGAGCCTGCACGGCATCGCATGATGAAACAACGTACTCCTTCAAGAGTCGAACGAACAAAGCGAGAACAGGCAGTCTAGTAGGGCTTGTGCCTGCTCTTCTTCAGCTCTTTCTCCAGCTGCTTGGCCTTCCGGTGGCCAATTTCTACAGGGTTGAGGGAGTTATCCGCTTTCTTCAGCTTGATAGGTCTGTTACCGACGTACTTGCCTGAAGCACGATATTCAGGGTCAACCGACCAAACAAAGCTGAGCATATACTGACCGTCCATTTCTTTCCAAGCTTTCAGGAAGTCTTCAGGGTCGGAGAAGGCTACAAAGCCGTATTTGGCCTGGAAGATAGCCGGCTTAGTATACACAACAAAGACTGGGAATAGTGGGCGCACCTTTCCGCTGAGACGATCTCTGATGACTCTCGCCTTCTGAAAAGACGTGTACTTGTTAAAGGCATTCGCTAGCACGTCATCAGATACATCATTGCTCAAGTCTCCGACGAACAGACGGAACCAAGCTGGAACAAATGTCAGGGAGCGCCAGTACAAGATGAGGAAATTGGGCGTACAAGGATTCCACTCCAGCAATGTTTGATCCTCCCAAACCTTGCCTGCCCCCTTGCGCAGCACAGTTGTGCGCTTCCCGCCCTTCGCCAGCTTGCCTCCTGCTCCCCCGCGTTTGTCGATCATGGCGCCGGGAACGTAAACACTTTGCTGTGCAAGAATACCGACATCGTATTCGTAGGCGTTGGCAGGAACAGGTGCATGATGGGCCGAGCTGGAGGCACCAGGAATAGGATACATCGGCCCTTGGTAAGGCTGGTGGTATGGGTTGACATCGGACTGGGAGGACGACGACGCTGCCTGATAGCCTTGGTAGCCGGAGTAGCCCTGATAGCCTTGGTAGTAGCCTTGAGAGGATTGTGAATCCATCGTAAAGAACACCGTCTAAGTCGAGAGAAGTGTCTAACGTGTCGAGGGGGCGAGGGCGGGAGCGGGAGCGGGGGGTAAGCGGTGGTGACTGTCAACCTCAAAGGTGTAGGAAAGGCGCCAGAGGTTCCCCGCGCCCTACTTATGTAAGCAATCTCAGATCCAGATCATCGAGTTAGGAAATCGTCGGGTACGTAGACATCGTCACGGTCGCCCTCACCAACTTCCCCTCAAGGTCAGTACAACTAGGAATTATGTGAGAAATCATCGGGATATGCACCTTGGGGCCTTCAGCTTCTGAAGAGCCCAGAAAAGCTGATGGAAAACGATGGATGTCAAGTCATCATGCTGGATGAGGATGTCCGGACACCTACGCTTGGACGGTCTCCCGAACCTCTGTACTCAACTTGGATTTGTCCTAGATGCCCTTCGTCAAGAAAATCAAGTCGGGCCCGTACTTCTCGCGCTTCCAGGTCAAGTACCGCCGCCGGAGAGAGGGCAGGACCGACTGTGAGCAGAACTCTGCAGTATTAAGCGCAAAGAGGGTACTGATGATAGCACAGACTACGCACGCAAGAGGCTGATCACCCAGGCCAAGAACAAGTAGTATGTCAAGTCTGACTGTGCTTGGTGTTTGAGTGTTAAGTTTTGGAATGCAGCAACGCCCCAAAGTATCGCCTGGTCGTCCGCTTCACAAATAAGCAGATTATTGTTCAGATCGTCTACGCCCGCATCCAGGGTGATTTTGTCCTCACCCAAGCTCACTCGCGTGAGCTCCCCCGCTATGGCATTAACCACGGCCTCACCAACTGGGCTGCCGGTGAGTTCCTTTGGCCACTCTGAAACCGAGCGTTCTAAGTATCGAAACTGCGTTTAGCCTACGCGACTGGTCTCCTCTGCGCTCGCCGTGCCTTAACCAAGCTTGGCCTTGCAGACAAATACGAGGGCCAGACGGAACCCGACGGCACCCTTACCTTGACTGGGGAGCTTGATGACGAGGATGCTCCACGGCCATTCAAGTGTTACCTCGACGTCGGTCTCAAGCGCACATCGACCGGTTCGCGTGTGTTCGGTGCCCTCAAGGGAGCGTCTGACGGTGGTCTCTACATCCCCCACAACGAGAAGCGCTTCCCCGGCTACGACACAGAGTCCAAGGAGCTCGACGCTGAGGTCCTGAAGAAGTACATCTTCGGTGGCCACGTCTCTGAGTACATGGAGTCTCTTGAGGAGGAGGATGACGAACGGTACGCAGTCTTGAGTCTGACACACGTATAGAGAACCGATTCTCCTGTTCAGCTTCAAGAAGCAGTTCTCGACCTACCTTGCCGACGGCATTGGCTCCGATGACATCGAGGAGATGTACACCAACGCCTATGCGGCCATCCGTGAAGACCCAGTTTTCAAGCCGACCGAGAAGACAAAGGATTGGAAAGAGGAGAGCCTTAAGTACAAGGTCAACCACCTTACCCACGCCGAGCGCAAGGCCCGTATACAGGCGAAGATCGAGGCCTTCCAGGCTAGTGGTGGTGCCGCTGAGGAGGAGAAAGAGGAGGACGAGGATGAGGACGAGGAGTAGATGCTCCATGTCATCACCTACTTCTCTTATCATGTGGTTTGGTGCTATTCGTATCCGTCTCTTGCTTTGCATTATCTCGTAAATCAAAACACGGGCTATGTTCATGCCATGCATACCACCAACGATTGCTTCGGCACCCAGTTTCAGGGCGATCATAGCACAGCCATCGCCGATATCCTCCTGATGTGATAGTGGAATACGGGGCCCGCTACACAACTACTTTGCCCGCCTTGTGTAATCTTGGTAACGATTTCACTATGAAATCCCGTTGGCTACTCGCCATCGACTCGAGCCTAGGGTCCATGAAGATGCCTGGGTAGGGAATTTCCATCGTGAATCTAACCGATCTTAACGCGCGGAACGACAGCAACAGCTCCTCAAGCTGCGCCCAATTCACTAGATCTGCCCAGTACTTGACGAATTCTCCGTCATAGTCGATACCGAAGCCGAGGGTGATTGTCTGCAGTGTCGGTGGTGCGTACTGCAAGAGACAGTTGGGGAAACCAGCGGTGGCAGTGAGGACGCTGGCGAAGTGGTCGTAGAAGACGTCTGCACCGACGTACAGGTGGAGAGATTGAAGCGACGTGCAACACGCCAAGGCTCTGCCAAGATCTATAAAGGTTCGTTACGAAAGGCCATTGAAGAAACAGATGTGCGTGCCTTCTGTCTGGTGGGTGTACACGCCTGTAGCGTCCAGCCTGAGATGTGTCAGGTCATGGCCGACGTCCGTCAGAAGCGCAGTGAAGCTGTGCGGCATGGTCCACGCCGTTTGTTCGGATGCGTCTAACGAGCGGAGATGTTGTGGCGAGATCGTTGTGCGCATAATCTCGAGCGCGTTGGGCGGGAGGTTGTCCATGAAGGAGAGGGCCTTGACCTCCCAGTCGCGCAAGAGACCTTCCATGGAATCGAGAGGCAGGATTTGCTGCAGTAACTGGTGAAGGGAAATAGGCAGGACCTCCCAGTCGCAGAGCAAGAGCTCGTCGACCGGGACGCGGCTGAAGAGTGCCATCGTGTTGGCGATCTCTCCTGGCAGCGCTTCAAACCCACTTAGTTCGAGCTTGCGCAGCTTTCGCGTCCGCGCCCACTGGACAGGTGCCCCAGGCACTAGCTTGCAGGTGATGCCGTACATGCGCAGGGAGTGCAAGTTTGGGAATGAGTCGAGGAGGGAAAGTAGCGCGTGCGGGCAGAGGGATATAGATGCTCCCCAGAGTAACACGACGCGGATATTCGGGCGAAGGCAAGGGCTGGTATGCAGCAGCTGCAAAAATTGAGAGCCTTCCTGCATGTCCGCACGCCCAAGTTGGATCTGGTAGAAGAGATGGTAGTAGCTGGACGTGACCCAGGAGCACGCAACGAGTGAGCAGGCTCTTAATGCCTTTGTGTCATTGTGCAGGTAGTCAATGATCATATCGACAAGTTCCTGTGGAAGAACCGGTGATGAGTTAGCTACATCCACAGACATCTTCCACACAGAATTATTATGAAAGGATTCAAAGTACGGGTGTGTGCACAGTGAGGCAGGCGAGGGAGGATGGTGACGGTTTGGGTACAGGACGCTAGGATATTGTGTAGCAGAAATCCGGGGCGGCCGAGCGCCGCAGGCCTTCTTCGTGCCATCACCCTCTCCGGTCCTCTTACCCGCCAGCATCGGGCTTAGCACCGCGTTACTACTTTAACGTCGAGGTGGGCCAGTTACGTTGTGTATATTTTGGAAGCTCGGATGCTGACGTGCTGTCTAACTCAGGACCTCGTCATCCGCCATCATGAATATTACTGATTCTCGACTCCCAGTGGAGCTGCTTCATGAAATCCTGCAGCTTCTCGACAAGGCGACCCTAGTCGCTCGCGTGCGAGTCTCTCGCACTTGGCTGCACCTTTTGCGGCCGTACCTATTCAAGAGGATTGCGTACCGTATAGATTCCGAGAGCCACAGGATGACATCCGAACAAAACGAGATACGTGACACCCCCTTTCCCTGGCAGGAATCGTCACAAACGGTCTGCAGATATATTCAGCATCTGACCTTGACCTTCGCTTGCCGGAGGAAACCATTCCGCTTCACACAGCTTCCAGTCAGCGCCTTCAGTGGGGATCGCCAGAGAGGATTAGAGACATGTAGATTCCAACCCTTATCGACATCCTGGTACGTCTGCCCAACCTGTCGACACTCGAGGTCGATGGTATACCATTCCACACGCCGGAATCTCCTTTCAGCACTCGACTAATTATCGATTCGCCCGTGGTTCACCATCTCAAGGAGCTGAGGATCTCAAGGTGGGATGTGCGCGAAGACGACATGCTGCACCTGCTGAGCCTCTTCGGCGAGGTGGATCACCTGTACCTGGGCGCTTTCTGGTTCTCACCCTAGCTCGCCATCTTGTTCACCAGGCAGGTCGATCTCCTCATTCATTCGTTGACATTTGAGGATGCGAAGAATTTGGCTGCTATTATACAGTTACCGAACTTCTTGCAGATGGACGCGCTCGCCATCCCGTGCCTGCACCCAGGAGACATGCCTGTTGCCTTCGAGCTCACAAGTCTCACTTGCAACAACCTGCGGCAACTCTCCCTGAAGCTCCACAAGCCGACAACATTCGGTTTACCAGACTGCGATCTTTCTCACCTTCGCTCTCTCGACTTTACCTCCTTTTCAAAGTTAGAAGCACTCTCAGCCACGGCTCCTGTATACGACGTCATCCAGCCTTCGCAGCCCGAGCTCGTCGGCTTGTTTACGCGGGCAGGCTTCTACGAACCTGTGTACAATTATCTCACCCACATGCTCCCAACCCTTCCTTCGACTGTACGGAATCTCTGTTTCACACTTCATTACCTCTCGGCAGGTCCCCTCTACGACCAGTACCGCGATCACCTACCGGAGAGGCGTCCCACCGCTGAAGTGCCCATACCGACGAACTGGTCTGCTCTCGATAACATCCTCGCAGAGCGAGTGGACGGACACCTGCAGAGCGTCGAGTTCAGGGACCTTTTCGCCCATGCCTGCCGGTTGCTGAGCAGAGGCATGTCGTGGAAGCCCTGCCGAAGACCTGGCGGAGAGGTGTGCTCCACTTCTCGCAAAGCGTGCAGCCGTGGCGTGAGCCAACTTTCCTCAATTCCAGCAGTCTGCATCGGGAATGACAGTAGTAGCTTCTATCCATCGACTCACAGAGAACGCTGCGTGTAACGGGAAGAAGGTGCGGTATCCACGAATGGGCAAGGCCCAGCGATGTACGCGTATATATAGCTCCTTATAACAAATCAAATTCTCTTCGGCCTCGCGAGAATGCACCATAGGTTGCGTAGTAAGTATGCTGGCCAGTCTTGGTACAATGCGCTGGGAAGTACACTAGTACTGCTATCCCACACTACGATAGCAATTCACCAAAAACGAAAGAATACATCTGAAGCGATACAATTACAATTTGACCTGCTTGAGACCGTGTTTCCAGAAGGTGAAGTAAGCTAGAGTTAGGTTTGCTAAGTCATCTGAATTAATTTCGCACAGGGGAGAACACGCACGGGTAACACCGTCCGCACGGTAGTTGAGGAGGGCGACCATACCGTCGGGGTTCATGCTCTCGCCAGTGAACTGCATGAAAGCAGTGAGTGAAACGCCTCAAGATACCGTTGTTCAACACGTACGAATTCAAAGTTCTTGAAATCGCCGACGATCTTCTTCGCAAAGTTCTGTGCAGCCTGCTCGAACTCCGCAACCTGTTCGGGTTTGGTCTCCTGGAGCTTCGCCTTGACCGCCTTCATGTAGCCTTTGAGATAGGCAAGGTAGGACTTCTTGTCAAATGTGGTCGCCTGAAGACGGAAGGAGTGTACAACGTTGTTGACGGTCTGGGCACCCTCCTCAAGGGGGCCGTCTTCGTTCTCCTCAGCTGACGGGTTGGCACCTACAAACGCAAATCAAGATTAGATCTTGAGGCACACAGAAACCGATAAAGCGCACCGATGTCGACATCAGCACCAGCCTTGACAGAGACCATAACACAGTCAACTTCGTAGGCGACACCGTCAACCTCCTTGCTGTTCTGCAAGTCAGTGCCATCACATTCGTTCCCGGAGTACGAGTACAAACACAGGGAAGGCATCGGAGAACATCTCATCGCCAGTGAGAATATCTTCGTAAAGGAGCATCTTGAACTTATAGAGATAGGTAGAAAGAGGAGAAATGAGCCGGAGGGGACGAAGGAGGCCACAAGAGAGGAGGAGAACTAGACACAAGTTTTCGAAGCCAATAATTATTTGTGAGCGCTTAATGGGGCCGCTATCGATCCTGATATCACGCTGTCACAGACGTCACAAATCAAAAAATCTTGCTCTTGCCTCTTTTGGAGGCACTCAGGCGTCTGCTGCTCACAGTTTGCGACGACGAGCTCAGCTTGAAGCGCGGCGATGGCCGACTATAAACCGGTCGTCGTGCAACGGCATGCAAGGCCATCATCCACAAAGCACAATATCGAGAGCAGATACTGGCGACAGTTTAAATATCCCGTCTTCATAAAGGAATACGCTCCTGTCACCTCTGTACACTTTTCACCCACGAAACCTCATCGCTATGCTGTCACTGCTGCGACCCGCGTGCAAATATATGCACCAAGAACACAAAAGGTTACCAAAACTATTTCGCGGTTTAAGGATGTCGCGAGGAGCGGACATATACGAGGAGACGGCAAGCTTGTTGTGGCGGGGGATGACACCGGCTTGATTCAGGTGTGTTCGCATTCTCGTACTTGTTTTGGAGAGGTTTTGAGACTAGAGATAGAAGCCTTGTTAATTTCTACACTCAATTTTTACAGGACTGACCGTACTTCACCTTATTAGGTCTTTGACATCAACTCGCGTGCCATTCTCCGTACCCTGGACTCGCACAAGCAGCCTGTACATGTCACCAAGTTCTCCCCTGTTGACCATACCCAGATTCTCTCGTGCTCAGACGACACAGCTGTGAAGCTTTGGGACGTACCATCACAGTCGGAGATTATTACCTTCATCGACCACACCGACTACGTTCGTTCTGGCCAGGTCGCGCCTTCAAATCCCAGCCTCATCCTCACTGGCTCGTACGATGCAACAGTACGGTTATTCGATGCGCGCACAGGCGAGTGCGAGATGGTTATGGGTGGAAGCTCGGGCGAGGGTGGTGGGCGGAACACTGCGCCGGTCGAACAGGTCCTCATGTTTCCATCTGGAACTGTCGCATTGTCGTCCGCGGGGCCCATCTTGCGTGTTTGGGATTTGGTCGCGGGTGGACGCTGTACGCGTGCGATATCAAATCACCAGAAGACGATCACCGCCATGGCGTTCAATGGATCTACCAGCCGGCTGCTGACCGGAGGTCTGGACCAGATGGTAAAGGTGTACGACGTGAGTACGTACAAGGTTGTACACACCATGCGTTACCCTGCACCCATTCTTTGCCTGGCTGTTTCGGTACGTCTCTTCCATCTTCCATCTCTAAGGCGACACTCACCTCTCTGCAGCCCGAGGAGACACACATCGCTGCCGGTATGACCGACGGTACTCTGTCCGTGCGGAGACGTCAAGCGAAGGCCTCAGAATCCTCTGCCAACGATCTCTTCTCCTCAGCCGCACTTCGTGCAGGCGCGTATGAGTCCTTCCTCGGCAGTCTTCCATTGATTGGCCGTGGCCGTGTGAAGTCAAAACGGGAGTCGAAGCCGGTTGGGGATGTAGGCGAATTTCGGATCGAGAGTAAACGCAAGAAGCGTCTAAAGGAGTACGACAGGCTATTGAAGAGCTTTAAGTACTCGGACGCGTTGGACTCGGTGCTTCGCAAGGTATAGTGAACATCGTGTATACGCGGATAAGATGTATTGATAGAATGTTTGTAGAATGTGCCGCCAACGACAACCTTCTCCCTCATACAAGAGCTGGTACATCGGGATGGTCTGAGGACCGCCCTGGCGGGACGCGATGACGTTCTGCTAGAACCGATCCTGCGCCTTCTGCTAAAACATGTCGCCGACCCACGATTTGGCGAAATGGTCTGTGACGTCTCGAATGTTGTCATTGGTAAGCGTGTTCCACTGCCTTTCGCGGAACGGGTGTCTAACATCCGTTATCTCACTTAGAGATGTACACGCCAGTCCTCGGCCAGTCACCCCTGATAGATACCCTCTTCCTCCGATTGCGCAAAAAGGTGGCCGCAGAACTACGCTTCCAGCAAGAGCTCGTCAAAGCGCGAGGCGCGCTGGATATGCTCTTTGCTTCGGCAGCGCTCGCCTCGGTGCAGCAGCCCTAGCCATGTCGTCGTCCACGTCAATGCGTCGATTAGGCATACCGGAAAGTATTGTACAGCATATATATTATACGCAAGCACCCTAGTCTCGCTTTCAGCAAGCGTCCAGGAAGTCAATGAGATGCTGGAGGATTTCCTTTTGTGAGTGCTCATCGCTGTCCTTCGCTGACGGATCTTCGTCGACGTTGTCGCGGTACACTTCGAGGGTCTTGACGATGTCTTTGAGCGAATTGTCTCGTCGTCGGAGCATCTGTTGTATATGTGCGCGGATCTGTCTCAACAGTCAGCGTAGGGCGTCTGCTTCGAACGTCAATAACACATACGCCATCGTCTTCCATAGCTACCCACGCCAGGATGTAGTCGACCGTCTGCAACGTGAAGAGGCCGGCATTGAGCCTTCGCAGATACCATGAATTTTGCGTGTCCTGGTCGATCTCTTCTCCTTCTGCTTCAAGGTCCTAGTGACAGCACTAAGTCTCAGCGTCGCACGAACCTTGTTGTAAGACAGACCTTCTTCTCTTGCTCGATCTCCTTCTCAATTTCTCTCAGTCTGACTTGTGCTGCGTCGCGTATCTCGAGCATCTTGTCCGTCTTTTCGTACGTGCTCTCGACAAACTTGGCAAGGAGACGTATACGCGCAGGCGAGTCAGACGCGAGGTTCGAGAAGAGTGACGCAACGATGCCAAGCGTGTGCGAGATGTCCTCGTTCTGCGTCTTGTTCTTCTTCGAGACCTTGCTCATGAACGTCGAGAAAAGGCTCTTCAGCCCTAGCGCCTCTACGAAAACTTCGCAGCACTGCGTGCCCGCGGGCCCGGACGTGGAGTAGTCGAGGACTTTGATGGAGCGCGAGCGAGACTGTTTCTTCTCCCTGTATGCACAGTTAAAAATCCATCATATAATGCATAGGCGAGCGTCGATTTACTTGAGCATGAGAACCATAAGGTCTACACCTTCGCTGTCGAGGAACAGCTTCTTGACCTCGGGCTCGCCCAATGTGGAGCATAGCGTGTCGAAAACGTTCTCCATGAACTCAAACTCGTCCGCATCCACAGGGTCGCGTTTATGATATTGCTACGGAACTTCCTGTCAGTATGTCTTTGTCCCAGTTGTTACACGCTCAGGCGTACTCACAGACAACACTTTGAGCATAGTCTCAATTCCATCCTGCTTGCCAAGCGCCAGTCTGTTCTCACGGTTGTCTTGGAGGAGGATGGACAGGAGCTCTGCCGCATAACCTCGGTTGTCATCGTGTTCCTTCGCCTGTATGCGGGTCAGTAGCCATTCCAGTATGGTTGTTTTGGTGACGAGCAGCGTCGACAGTTCAGGTCTAGACGCGATGAAATTCTCGAAGATAGCTGTATAGCATTTTAGCATAGAGTCAACGATAAGACCATTCACAGACGCACCAAGGATATGGAAGAGACCCTGCCTATCGGCCTCCTCGGCTTCGTTGAGGCGCTTTAGATTATCGACAAGGAGCTCGAGTATCGAGTTCTCGAGCTGTGCAACACAAGACCAAAGTTGGTACATCCATATGTCTGAGCAGGAAGATACAGACCCACCAAACCCTCCATGAGGATCTTCAACGCATCTTCCCGTTTGCTCTCTTCTTCCTCTTCGCCCTCTACCTCGTTTCCGACATCTTCGTCTGTAAGTTCATGTATGACTTCAACGACGTCAATCACAATGTCTGCGTTCTCGTGACTGAGGAGTCCTATCAGGCGTGCGACAGCACCGGATAAAACTAGTTCCGGGTACGCAATTATGGGTGCTTGGGCAAGTGGTAGCAGGGCTTTGAGTGCCAAGTCGAGATCGGCTTCCGAATCAATGAATCTGGTACGCATTAGACAAGTTGTGTGAAGTGGAAAAGGCAGGACGTACTTCGTGGGATCATCCGGGTATTTCGAGCGTTGGTCTTGATTCTTCTTCTCGGCTCTCTCGAATCGCAGTAGCAGTCTCTTAACTGCAGGAAGGTTCATTTCTTCCAGCTGCGACTATGTCAACCATACACATTCCGTAGAAGCCACCCGGTACTCACATCCTCGTGCACCCCTTCCGATACATCCTTGTCGAATATGTTCAGGATTTCCTTCTGCTCTCTGGACAGACCTCCACCGAAGAAGCGTCCCTCTTCGTCCTCCTCGGCAAAATAATCCGCATCGCCACCGGGCGCGAAGTCGCGGTCTACATCGTCGTTCATCTCGTCATCGACGTCTTCGACTGTGGCTGCACGCGACATGCCTCGATCCGACGCGCCGTCGCGTGCGGGGACGACCACAGAGGACGGGCCTGCGCCTGTGTCCATGCGCATCTTCTTGAGCATCTCTGGTGTTGGCATATCCGGCATGCGCCTTTTGTTGCTGCCCGACGGCAGTTTGGGCATCTGGTCATTGGCCTTCAGCGCGTGAGCGGCTGAGGTCATAGACACGCCTTACCTTGAAGAGCTCGTCGACATTCATGATGGGCTGTTCAAGATAAAAGGAAGCAGTTGTGGGTGGCCAAGCAATGCACAATCCGAATAGCAGCGGCAGTCGACGGCCCCACGGTATACTCTGGAGTCTGATACGCTCGGGCGCGACTGGAGGAAGAGAGCGCTAGCAGTGCAACCGGCAAGCGCCTACGTAGCGGCGGCTATCGCTCGCCTTCATCTCGGACTTAACTGTTCACTCCGAGCCGCTCACTCAAAATTATGGAAAAGTGGTGAGAGGATTATGAACTGGAATGCACTTACTGAATTGTTTGCTCGACCTTCAGGAGAATGGCCTCTGACATCGAAAGTGAGGGCCCTCGAGTATCCGCTGACATCGTCTATCTCGAGTTTATCCTCAAGAGCGTAGACAGGCTGGAGATCAGTCGTCTCTATCTATTCAAGAAGGCAGTTTGGCATGCCCGCCCAGAGCACTTTCGGAGAGTAGAGAGTGGCGGGCCAAACGGGAACTCTTGCGAGCTCTAGCGCTAGCACTTCCTCTGTCTTTTGAAAAGCAGCCCCGCAGTCTTCCCCTTCATACGTGGTCTGACCTTAACGCTCGCACGCGCCACAGGGGGTGAATACCTCAGCTGGTATGCCATTTTCCGAGAGAGTGCTGTTAAATTCGCCCGGATCGAAACACTTGCCACGCTTGCGCACCCGTGATTTCAGCGACATACCCTTTCAGCCGCCTGCTTCAGAGACTGACACAATGTCAACCTCGGAACCTAGCCTTTCTCTCCGAAGCCTGAAGATTGCATTCAAATCGTGGGGGCGTAGCCCTCGGGATAATCAATCTTCCGAGATAGTAACTTTTCTGCACCTCCTCAGTTTGGTTTCAGGATGTGAAGGACTTGTCGTACGTCCCTGTCATCCATGGCCATAAGGATTTAGTTGTTATCCCGGCAGTCGCATCGCATGCCCCGCCCAAGATATATTTGATGAGGCTCACAACTGTGGACACAATCAAGAAGATCCTATCGATGCCAAACCTGAGTCTATCACATAGGGTCGAAATCCCGTGGGTCGGTGTTTGCCATGATTGGAACATGCATAGGCCGCTCAGCCGTGCTTCCACGGGCCAAGCCACAACCTTATAATGAGCACGATACGAGGTCTTCCCCTCTCGGTGCGGTCCATCATGCCACTAATCTATGCTACCTGGATAGACTACCACTATCTTGAGGTCTCTATTGTCATCATTTACCTGCTGGCAAAGGAATGGAGAAGTCTGGACGACGCATTGGTGGCGCGAGTTGAAAGCGGCCTGGAGAAAATCAAGTTTCAGGGTGACTGTTACGGCGGTCCGCTACTGCCTGAAGATTAGAACTACTTTGTGACGCAGCTACCGAGGAGCTGGCAAAGCGAGGCTATCAAGTTCCTCTAGCTTTGGTCGCCACTCACGCACGTGCCATCATTACATGATACCAGGCCTAGCTGAAGACAGCGGGTGAACAGCTAAACTTACTAATGCAGCTGTCTTGTATTTATATGTATTGACGTATCTATAGCACTTAGAGGCCACAAGTGATTTCCGGTATAAATCAGGCTTGGATATAGTAACTGAGAATGTTAAGTGACTGGGGAAGCAAACACTCAGGCCTCCCGCCACGACTCAGTGACCAACTCGGCGCTGGGTTTACTATCGTCATGCAGGCTTATTGTCGCTGCTCGCGATGCTACCTCTGTTTTGCAACTCATGGTCCGAATTTGCATGTAGTAAATCGACAGGTACACTTTTAATCCGCTGAATGTTGGCAAAGTTCAGATAATACAGTCTCTTCGTTACAGTACGCATGTCGCCTTATAACCCCCCCCCCCCGGAACTGGTCGGTCCCATCGTCAATTTGAAGGCAGACAAGCATTCTCTGGTCCCCTGTGCGTCAATTTTTCGTGGTTGGCTGTCAGTCGCTTGTTCACATCTCTTCGAACAGGTTGCATGGCGCCTCCGCTTCAAGGGTACTTTCAGAGAACAAACGACCAGTCCGAAGTAGATCCCGTAGGACTGGGACAGCTGCTTCGCTTCCTGAAATATACACCTGCCGTTCCACCGCTCAGTAGCAGAAAGGAACTTGAAAAGCGGTGGCACCGCGTATTGATGCTCCCGAGAGCGGCCTCGGCCGCTTTGACTAGTACTGGACGACGGTATTGGACGGAATCCTGTAGTCTAGGCAGATCTAATCTAGTCAGTCGGTGATAGCACGATCCCGCCTGAAACGTCGCTCCAGAACCCGAAACTGCACCTCTTTAAGCTGCTCGCCGACGTTTTAATAGCCACCAAAGTGACATTTCGAATCGTAACGGCCGTAACTGTGACAAGATCTGGCCCCGTCTCGCAAAGCTCTGTGCATAATGAAGCACCCCAGGATCATCATGGCGCGCAGATGCTTACGATGTACATAAACTCGCCCGACTGCTATGGCCAAATTACAGATTCCTCTTCTCTCTTGGCTCAACGATCTCACCAGCTTTTCCGACTCTGCATTGCTCACACCGTCATATAATTCATCATCCCCCTTGTATTGGCTCTCACTGCCACGACTGCTGTCTCGCTGCCATCGCCCAAACCAGGACCCCTGACATTGGGCGGAGAGGCCTGATCCTGATTTTCGCCTGACCCGACCTTTTTATCCGCACAAAAATTTGGCCCTCTGGCTCAAAAAAGTACGGATTTTCCTCCGGCCCCGGCCTGACGGCCGGGTTTGAATGCGGATTAGGCACCATGCCTCCACATCTCCAATAACTCGCACCGTTTTGCGTCCATAGGCACACCTGTAGTGCAAGTAACATCTCTATGAACAATAAACTAAGTTCCTGCCTCGCCTTTGCCACCGTCTTCCACTGCCGCCGCCGCCGCCGCTCTCTTCTCCTCTCACTTCCGGGAAGTGTCGAGGGCCTTCACCGCAGCTTTGATGGCCCTGGGAAGGTAGATGGTAGCGTTTAGCTCACGGAACACTTTATATGCGATGTTGAATTCACCAGGAAGGGTGCACAACAAATGATCGGATGGGGCGTGAAGCAACAAAAGCGTCTGCAAAGACATAACGTGCTGATGAACGGCACGAAACTGATTGGGCCCGAGGGCTTGTTCATACACCTGCACAACCATATTGGACAATAGACGTCGAGTAGCATACGGTTGTATAGACATGCGCCCTCGCTTGCATTCTTCGCTCTTACTTGCCGACCGTAGACGAACGCGGACAGCGGTGCGGTCTGAATAGCCACGAGAACGATTCCCAATTGAGGCACACTTTGTATTAAATACTGCACTAAAGGCTACCGATGTTGACAAGAAAAGTGATTCGAAAGATTTTTAGACCTTGGGCATCAGCCAAATGGGGCTACCAACATGCCCCAAAAATCTGTATACGGACGGTCCTTAGGCCTTGTAGAGCGGCCGCTGGCGCGGTACGGATTATTCCTCCGGCATCCTCGGGCCCAAGCCCAGTTTTAGATGCGGATTGCCTCAGGCATGGGGGGTCCCGAGACCCCATTTTGGATGCGGATTGTCCTCAGGCCCCTTCGCCTGATGTCAGGGGTCCTCCCAAACCTCTTCAGGCTGTCCTTCAACTTCTGGGTCACCATCAAAGTCAGTCTGAAGCAAAACTTTGAAACGCTTGATTTGCGACATTTTGTAACGGCCGTAAGTATGATGAAACCCCGGGCTCGCCCCGTTTCCCGAAGCTCTGTGCATATATAAGCTCACCCGACAAGCCAAAATACAGATTCCTCACCTCTCTTAGCTCGACGGCCATTTAATTCTTTCTATTCTTTCTATTCTTTCTATTCTTTCTATTCTTTCTATTCTTTCTATTCTTTCTATTCTTTCTACTCTACATTCTTCACGCCGCTATGTACTTCTCCACCTCTTTTGTATTGGCTCTCGCTGCCACGGTTGCTGTCTCGCTGCCGTCTCCCATAAACCGTCGCGAGGTTCGCGTCGCCGCGCGTCAGTCGAACTCCAGCGCGAGCAACAGCTCTAGCGTGCTTAACCCAGACTGGGCTGGCGCCGTCTTGAATACGACTACAGTGAGCCTCTTATATCTCTGCGTGATGCGTGTGCTGACAGGCTCGACTTCCGCATAGGGCACAATCACAGGTGCCTCCGCGTCGTTTTCGATTCCGGCGATTAGAACGCCTGCGGGCGGGGAATTCACTGCCTCCTCCTTCTTTTTCATGGGACTCGGTATTGATTGGACTCAGTGCTCGAACGGCTTTATGGGTGGTATTGAGGCCTCCACTGCGAATGGTTCAGCGACCTTTAGTGGTCAGTCCGCGCTCCTTGCGCTCCTCCTCGCATGCTGACAAACCATCTACGTTCTCGCAGCCGTTGTAATGAATTCCACTGGCCAGATCGTCGACATCCCGAACTTCAACGTCTCGGCAGGCGACAACATCACGATAAGCCTCAACGCGACGAGCACGACGTCGGGCACGGTGTACATTATCAACCAGAGCACGGGCCAGAACGTCTCCGAGGTTGTCCCTACCGGCCCTCTGTGCTTGGAGGAAGCAGACTGGCTCGTAACGGACCTCATTTTGGGGGGGACCCCAGTCCCTTTGGCAGCCTTTGGCTCAATTGACTTCGCTAATGCGTCCGCCCAGACCCCCTCAGGTCCTCTCGACCTCTCTGGCGCGATGGTTCTCGACATCAGTCAGAACAACACTGTTCTTACTTCCTCTTCGGTCACGTCCTCGAACGTCACGGTCATCGACCTCAATGCGGTATAAGGAATGTAGATTTTGTGGGTCTCGGGAAGTGGAAAAGAGACGGCCTATCATCTGTTTGTATATCTCGTGTGGTGCTAACAGAAGGGCCAGTATTTTATGAACACTCCTTGTACGACTGGTTTGTATATTCTGCGTGTAGTCAGAAGGACGATACTTATTCGATACTGTTTGTGTCGCTGGACGAAACGCGCGTGGACTCTGAACACCTACGACGGCGAACAGTGCTGTACCGAAAAGTCCACGTCTGCACCTTAATACTTTGTAGCCATTGGCGTGCGAGCCGCCTTAGCAGGAAGGCCGGGGATTCAGCATGATTCGTCGCCTCAAGACTCCGAGACCGCGCCAGCCCAGTGCCAAATCGCCATTAAAGCGAGTCCAAAGCTGCTTCAGGCACACTTCAAGGGGGTATGAAGCGAGAGGGGGGGGGGGACGTCCGTGAAACGCGCGTGAACTTTGAACACATGTATCCGGTATCGTTTACAGACAAATGCGGCGGGACAGCAGGCTGTGAGTTTTGCTCTGGTCTTGGTACAACAGCCAGATTCTGTCATGGTCTAACCTTGCGGTACCCCTTGCCTAATACTCGATTGATAATCAACGATTCCGAAGCTCTGCTGTACTGGTACTACTAGTATTGTTTCTCCGAACAGCTGTTGAGATGTCCGTTGAAAGTATTGAAGCTTTTCTTCACTGCCCATGTCACACAGATCGACAACTCACGGGTGGTGAGTCAAACGTCAAACTTTCATTGGCTGCCAGCAACTTGGGGCTAACAAAGTTCTGAAAGCCAGGTAGAGGCATCTGAAAGGGTTCCGGTGCCAGTTATAAGTTAGGCTCGTCCTATCCCATGCCGGTTTCCTGGTCCCCCACGGAGCGCAGCGACCGGACCGAGTGTTCGCGCCGTCACGACGTGAGCCACGTGACTGGCTGATCCTGTGGTTCTAGCAGCTCAGTGGAAGTGACCTCTACTGCCCTGTGGCTAGTAATCGTCACTGTATTCTCCGTAGCATCTAGGCCACATCTAATCAGCATAGTAGTGCCTCGTGACCGGGTGACGCGGCCCACAGTACCCAAACTCACCACGCATTCCGGTCAGAGTTTATACTTCGATTTTTAGAAGTCCGACTCGGGTTCCGCCCGGAGCCTTCCGGGCGTGCCAGAGGGTCCTTCTGTAGCTCGACGGGCCTCGTCCCAGTCCCGAATGGCGGTGGCACGCCCTCGGCACGCGTCTGTGCGCACTCTCCCTCCTCCTCGCAAGACATCGATCCCCGAGGTGCTCTTCGACGCGCTCCCGCCGAAGCAGACGTCCTACCTCGAGATGACGACGCGCGCGCGGCGGCGCACGTACGAGTGAGTGCGCCGCCCCCGCCTACTCTCGCCCCGCGTCGCCTTGTGCTCCCCGCTCACAGGAACCGGACACACAGCGCGGTGATACCGCTCGAGTTCTGGAACTGCCCCGGCACGAGCACGCTCGAAGCGCCAGAGGCGTCGCTCGGCCAGTTCACGACGCTCGTGTTCGTGATCGACATCCAGGTGCGTGCTCCTCAGGCTGGTGGCAGGCTTTGCGTTCGGAGCTGAAGTGAGCGCGCTTTGGTGTTGGGGGCGACGTGCAGGAATTCAACAGCAGCCGATCTCGAAGCTCCTCGGTCGCGACGGCATACCAGGAGAACCCGGGGATGCACCTTGAATTCTTCGTACACGAGGCAGACGTACTGTCAGAATAGTACGATATCGATGCGTCGCGTGCGTCCCCCGCTGTGCGGCGCTCTGTCTCTCTCGCTGACGTACGATAGAGAACTTCCGGCTCATCCTGCAGCGCGTCACTGCGGACGAGCTGATCGACATGTCTCCCGAGTACGAGCAGGTCCCGGTTGAGTCTTACCTGAGGTCGATCTATGACTACTCACTGCATGAGGCGTTTTCAAGAGTGCCGCATAAGCTCATGCCGTCCCTGCTGTATCTGGAAGACCTCCTGAACGTGTTCTGTCCGTGCGTCTCATCATCCGCATTATCCTTTTTCTGGCTGACGCGATCACAGAACTTACAAGCGTCAAAGGCGTTCCTGGTTGATACGTTGTCGCCGCTGTATGTCGCGACAGACGCGTCGCCGGTGAATCCGCCGACCCATAGCTTGTGCAATGATTACCTGCAAATGCTGAATTCGTTTGGGCCGTTGTATTGGTGAGGATATGTGCCGCAGACTGAGATATATCCAAAGTTGACGCCACACTCAGCTCAATCTCAGCGAGCGTCCCGCGATGTCAGCAAGTGTCGACAAGTGTCATTACTTCACCGGCACCGCCCCAGTCAGCGTCTTCCCCGAACGCGCGCCATGCCCACACCCCCCTGCCTCCCCTCTCCGAAGACCTGCCGACACTCAACTCAGGTCTCTCCTCCGCCGACGTGAGCGCCATGGCTTCGCCAAAGTCTGGTACGCCTGCGCCGTCGACAGTCGCGAAGACGAAGAGCTTGTTTTACCCGAGCGCGTCCGCATCACTGTCGCCGAACGCGGCGGGCGCGGACACGACGGTGACGTACCATCTGATGACGGCGCATCTGACGCTGCTCCCGACGGCGATCTTCGAGACGCGGCGGGGGCTGGTGGAGTACAACGTGGTGTTCTTCCGGGAGGGCGTGCGGGAGATATGTGGGGTCGAAGAGGAGGCGAGGAAGGTTGGCTGATGGCGGTCATGGTCGGCGTGCCTTCCATTTTTTATTTTTATTGTCTGACATGCTTGGTCCGCTGTGTATGTCGCACTTGCTGTACCTATAGGGTCAGATTTGCGAAGGCCGTCTCGACGCTGTCCGTAACGAAAATCGCCCACGGAGGGGCGCTCATGCATTGGGGCCCTAAGAAGGGACGTGGAGTGGATTGCGGAAACGCTGCATGGAGATCGCTCGTGCGACTCTGGCGATGCACAGTTTGGTCGAGATTCAAGACATTGAAGAAGAAAAAAAGACTAGGCATATTAGCTCTAATTCGCGTTCATTGTGAGAGACCAGTCGGGGACTCCGAGGCCCCGCTGTGAGTACCTGAGGGGGTACCAAAAACGCGCGACGCGCAACGAAATGACCATCAGACTGTCAAACATGAAAAATAATTATTCAGACAATTCTGCATCATCCTGTAACTGCCTTCATTTAGCCTCACTTTTGTTCAGGAACATCATCAGGGCGCGCTTCGCGCGCCGCCGCAAAATTCCGATTCTTCGGGATTTTTGCTAACTTTCTACGCACAGATAGCTCATTGGGGTACAAATCAGGCTCTTTAAGGGGACTCAATCCGCGTTTGGGTGCAAACCTAAACTAATTAAGCGAGTACAATCCGCGCAAAAGTGGGGGTCCAGGATCGGACCTATTGGGGAACATGCAGGGGCCTGTGGAGCACTTCTTCTCGTGCGCTCACTCGAGGGCAAACCCATAACCTCCATTTCTAACCGACGCGCGCAGCGAGAAAAGGTTAGATTAATTTCTTTCTCGAGTCCGAAGTAGAAGCTCATCAAGGGCCGCCGACGAACCTCCGTCAGCATGGCTTTCCATCTCGAATCCAGGAACCCTTGGGTCCCGCCAGAACTCACACACCTCATCTTCCGATCTGCAGACAAGCCCACGCTACTCCGAGTGCTGTACTCCGAGCACGAACCCTTCTCCAAGAATTTCGAATTTGTTGGGCCGTGGGCGAAGAACTGGAGCGGCCTGGATGAGGCTCTTGCGGCCGGCATCGGCAGGGGTTTGCAGATGGTAGAGTTCCTTGATAGCCGGGATCGAGGGCCCATTCTTAACATAGAACGAGGGCTTCTCAGGTGCCGAATGCCTAAGATGTGGGCAAGCAGAGCGGTACAAGACCTTTAGATGCAGTGGCAGTAGTAGGCCAGTATCCATTTCCCTGCATACTTGCTCCCTATTCTGAATTGAATTATCTGATAGATAGCAATCTGTCAAATGTGTCTTCAGAGGCACTTTCCTCGCGCTGACCTGGACTTATATTTTCGCCGGTTAATCGCAAACGTGCTGATGTACCCATGCATGTCTGCCTAGTTTGTAACAACAGCGTTCATGCAGATTGGATCGTAAGTTTGTTCAATCTGCGTCCGCCACTTCTGTTACCTGGAGAAGATGGGTATCTTCTTGCAACCCACCATACCAGAGGAGTTGACAGAGCAAAAACTGGCGAGCAAACTTGACACTAACACTTGACGCGCTGACGATGTTTTCGGATCCGAGTCGATCATTGCCTGTATGGAGGATGAGCCTGAGCACCTAGGACGGCGAGGAGGTGCACGATAAGCAGGCTGAAATTGAGAGCGGACATGGGTTCGTGGAGATAAAGGACGAATTCCACAGCAACAAGCCTGGAGTCAACCCTGTGTGTCGGGCGAAGACTCAAATCCTGAGTGATGCGTTTCAGGAGAGGAGATGTTAGCTGAGCCGCGACATTCAGCTCGGCTTACCAATTGGCGGCTCCCGTGACCCTTGTTCATGGACTGATCTCCAGCGATTCTTGTTTGCTACATATCTTGGATGGTTGTTCGTGAGTGGTACTGCCGCCACTCTATCGCTACGTACTTCTAATGTGCCGTTACAGGGACAATGATTGATCCGTCTGCTCCCAGACCCCTTCTGTGTTTTCGCTGTTAAATGTAATATGCAAATCATGACGAGCCCCATCCTCACGCCTGTCACAAGCGAGTTCAGATTCGAGGGCCCCTGGCTAAAGCTAGCGCCGAATATCGTGCAAAGGTTCCTGGTTTCCGTACCTTCCTCGCAGATTGACCTTTAATATCTCGCTGTCGATTACCAGCGTGTTCGAGATCGCGGCTGGCGGGCTATGTCGCCCTAATGCAGGACATGCTCTTTCGCTGCTGTTTGGAGTATTGGAGTTGGCGAAAACTTGCCTGCAGACTGGGCGGCGATTCTCGATACGTCTACATTGGTCAGCCGGTAACTAGTAGCTAACTTCGCTGCTTCTCTACGGAGTCCGCACCTACATTTCAGATCTGAAGATTATATACTGGACCAAGGCTGCGGCATTTGGTGCCTGCTGCCGTTTCGCTGGCGGTTCTACCGCTGGCTGTGCTAAATATCTCGACATTTATATAGAGATGGCGAGGTAGCGAATACTTTTCCAGTGATAGAGATGCTCGTCCAAGAGTTAAATTTGGCATCGGGCTCGCAATCAGGATCATACTATGAGCAGCTTGTTTGCGACAAGTTAGCGGGCTCGACGATGCTGTTAATCATTCCATGGGGTAAGCTGAAGCTATTGTGTATTCTCATTATTATGCTAATCGTGTTTTCCTTCGTTGACTCCCGTAATCGGCTTCACCTTTTCCTTGTAAGTCTAACATATCATATTCTCTTGAACGCCAGCTAATCCTTGTAATGTTCAGATATCACGTTTTTGTGACGTAATCCTTTGCAGATCGCAGCGCAGACTCGACGTGCTTCACGTATGGCAATGTGAGAGTCCATTATTGACTCCGCCTTTCGACTATACTAAGCGATCTCGATCTTCGGCAACTTAAGTTATTCTAAACGTCATCATCAATATTTCTGGCGCGCTTCTCCCAACTGCTGAATTACCTTTGTTGCAAAGGCGCGCTGGCGATCGCCACATGTGACCATGTCAGTTCTTTCCATTCATTGCTGTTCAACCACCACGAATACTGAGATTTTGCTAGTGCGGACAGGCGTATCTTTATGTACAAATACAACAGCGTGTACGTCAGGCGCACTACTACTCGACTAGAACTGTAGGTACACGCTCACGTCAAACGTCATGTACGGTGATCTTTACCCACCTCAAGCGCCGCGGCACGGGCAATGCGATCGTCTCGACGGCGAATCGCGTCTTCGAATCCTAGTGCGTCACGTCATGGCCTCTTCTAGCTTTGCCGCTAATCAAATGTAGGCACCGATCATTGCACTATACGCTAGTCCGGCGGCCCCAGCGCCAATATATGTTGCCGGAGCGCTGTTCGTCGTCTCGGGTCTGATATGTAGCGCTGCACTGCGGCTTAAACCTCAGGGGAAAGCGTCACACAGAAGGTCTGCTTTAGTTACTTATTATCTTTGTCGCAGTAGGGAGTATATGTACGTCTACAGGCTTAGTAGTCATCCTTCTCGTGCGTGCCACCTTCTTGCATTGAGCGCTTGGCGCCACCATGATTTGATGGCGCATCTTCCACGATGTATCCGCCCATCGGGATGTCTCCCGTTGACCACCACAACTCTTCGTGTCCACAGTCGCAAAACTACAACCAACCGAGGACAGCTTTCGACGGGGCATCAAAGGTGGATAGTCATGTGCTGATAGGATGGTGCGTTGCACAGCCGTTCCGTTCGGATGGAAAGATCTGAACATTGGACCATTTCCCACGTCTAACTCAATGCCAGCTTGTCTGGGAGAACAACGGAGGGGGCGGAAAGGCGGGTTCGAGAAATTGACTTTATGATGTGGAAGACGGCGGGACCCTGATCAGCTGGGCGGGGAATAGGAAGGTGGTGTGGTCACGGCGGCTGCAAACGAAGTTGGGCATGCGCATGCATCCGTTCTCCAGGTGTCGTCCGATGTTAATTGGGACCGGTCGGCATCTTCTGTTCTTGCATCCGTCCACCAACACCCCCGCTACCTAGACATGCGTTTCACCTTCAAGCATCCATGGATACACCTCACCCCCGCGCTATCTGCCATCGCACTTGACGATATCCTCTCGGGCAACACTTGCCAGCCAATCGGCCTGGCCGACTTCGAGTCATATCTAGAGCATAAGGAACACTCCGTCGAGAATCTGCGCTTTGTGGTATGGTATCAGTCGTACCGCCGCCGGTTCTTTGCTCTGCCGCCGGCAAAGCAGAAGCTCAGCCCTGGCTCGCGCCAGTTCAGCTTTGCGCTTCCGACACCTGCACGCACCGCCCAGCACATCTCGCGGATGTCGAGCAGGGCGACAACCCTCGTATATGATGAGCCGCTAACGCCTAATTCAGCACTGCATTCTCCCACAACATCGACCTCTCCCACCCTGTCGCGCACCTCCTCCGTTCCGCTGACCGCATCATCATCCATCCCCTCGCGCGCGTACATGCACACGGCACCGGAGAAGCAGCCCCTCCGCGACGAATGCACCCTCGTTGCTGCGACATTCCTTCTTCCATCAGCGCCTTACGAGCTGATGCTTCCCTCCCTCCTGCTCTCGACCATTCTTCGGGACGTGGCACTCAACACTCACCCGGACGTATTCCTGCCCGCGTACGAATACGCGTACGACGCGCTCCTCACGAGCTCGCTCCCTCGTTTCCTCGAGATCGCCCAGCAGAACATGAATTGGGAGAAGAAGCTCTACTGGTGGTTGTACGGGATCATGACGAGCTGCGTTGGCTGGGCCATTGTCATCGGATGCTTGTTCATCAGTTATGATTCTCACACGACGCAGGGGAGGCTGCGGGCATGGAGGCTGTTAGGTGTGCCGTTCTTGTCGCTGGGAGCCATGCAAATGTATGCTGCGTATCGAGGGTGAGTAGTGAGTACTTCAACTCAAAGAGTTTTCGCTGAAGACTCGCTAGGTTCTGTACTCAAATTTGGGGACGTGGCGGGATGCAACTACGTCCGTGGGAGCTGTCATATCCACCTGCATCATCTGACATCCCTTCCCCCCCTACAACAAGCTCTGGCAAGAAATCGCGGCGTATGTCGATGAGTTCTGCAGGATCGATGCGCAAAGACTCGGAGGTCATTGAACTGTTCGAATTACCCTCGGTGCCGTCGGGTGTTCTCGAAGAGCAGTGCGAGTCAACCGACGAGATACTCGAGCTTCCTCGAGCCGACGGCGACGTCGGCCCATCGACATCGCGCCTACCACCGCACGGTCTGTCTCCCATAATTACAAACGGCTACCGCGACAGCTGGGACCTGCCTTCGCTTCCGACGCAGTCCGCATCCCCGACGCTCCCGATTTCCGACCCTCAACAGCACAAGCTGCAGCACCGCAAGAGCAAGTTTTCGCTGCTCTCGAAAAGGTCGCGACACGACGCACCGTACTCAGTGCCGCCGACACCCACGCTTAGTACGCGCGCGCGCGTCTTTGGGCCGGAGCGGGTGGTTTTGGATCCGCGGATTCGTGAGGTGCACAAGAGGGTACTGCGAGATATCCTGCTCTCGGGATTCGTGCTTGGGACGACATTGACGGTGGTTGTGCTCGCGCTACCGCATGCGAGGTAGCAGGTTTCCTCGAACTTTGGAAGGATGGTGGACTTGATATCTTGGATAACCTCCTGTATCGTTAGCCCGTGCAGAACTATTTCCGCTTGCTATAAGTTAGTTGTATATTAGCTATTTAAATTAACTAGGCTTACTTCCTTCGTCTTACCGGATATAGTATGGTTCAAGTTAGCGGTAAGTAGCTGCGTCTTCGAATTGACAGTCGTTGAAGCGGGATTGATGGCGCAACAACGCTACAAAGGAGTGCGCGCCCGTGTTGAGCCGTCATGGTGACGGCGGCGCGTACGCTAACAAACAGGACACTCATCCTCTCTGCGGTAGGTGGAGCTAGCATGGTATCTGAATCTCATGTCATAAATGTATGTACAGGCTTCTTGGGCATGTATGCCTCGCAGAGACAGGCCAAACTCGAGCAACTCGAACGTGAACGCGCGGATTTCGCTCGAAGGAAGCAAGCGTTGCTCACTCAGGCGAACGACATACAGTCTCAGATAGACGCGAAGGCTGAGGAGATTTCCTCTCTCGCCCCAGTCTATACTTTACCGAATGATGTGGTATTCGAGATTCTGAACATCGCGTACCAGCACGAATTTCCTCACTGCTGCCGCGACGACGGGCTCCTCCATACCAACTCGCCTTTGGCCATCAGCCATGTGTCAAGATGGTGGAGAATGCATACGTTGTCTTCGCCAAATATTTGGAGTTGTGTCCACCTCACGCCGTAGCAGACGGAGCGGCACGTCGAGGTCGTCAAGCTGTATATCGCCCGGCGATCGACCAATCGTCCGCTGTCTGTAGTCCTCGTGGCCTATGAGGACGATGCTTTCGCGGATCTTACCAATGCACTCGTCAGAGACTTCGGGATGAATACGTGGTCGCGGCTCCGACGTGGTTGGCAGTACCTTATCGGTCAGAAAGACCGATGGCGGCGCTGCGCGATCTACATCAAGGGTCGTAGAGAGCTGAGAAGTGTGCTGCAGAGCCTAGCATTTCCACGTTTGGAATATCTTGGAGTATCTGGACCACCCAGAGAAGCCCCCCCCCCCAAACTTGAACTTCACTTTGCGTGCTCCTCATCTCACAGCGCTCCACGTCACAAACGCTCTGCTCCCCAAGCTGGCACACCCGCTCGCTCATGTCACTGATCTCACATTGTACAACATGTCCCTCCATCGCGCGGAGCTCCTTAAAACCCTATCGACTGCATCACATACGCTGCGCTGCCTCACACTCGATTTCGTCCAGTTCCACCCGTATGACCTCCAAGCCAACATTGTTCTGCCCGAAGTGCACCTTCTTCATCTGCGCGTTCTCGTCGCTGAACTCTTGTGCGACGGCGACTCGCGCTGCACCGTCCTCCTCGCCATCTACAGGGGCGCGCCCGCACTTGAGACGCTGCGCATGTCTCTCTGCCAGAACCTCCTCGACGAGCTCGTGGCGGGCAGGGTGCAGCTCCCAAGCATGCGCCACCTGCAGTACGACGGTATGGATATGGGGAAGAAGAAGAAGCCCGCGGGCGCGGGCTTTTTGCGTCTCTGCCCGGCCTCGAGACGCTCCAGGTGACGTGCCTCGACTGGACCGGGACACTTGACTCTGCTGTTGCAGCGGACAGGGGCTCGGAGGGCCAGGCTCGGTGTCTTGCATGGCCGAACCTGATGACACTGGTATTCCACTCGCTCGAGGAGGAGCTCACTCTGCTCCGGTTCGTCGAGCATCGCGTTCGGGTGGGACGTCCCCTGCGCCGAATCGTGCTTGATGACGCCAATGTCGCAAGGCTCGGTGTCGGGGAGCGAGAGAAGTACGAGAGACACGGTTTAGAGATTGTGGGTCACTCGAGGGCGTCTGAAGCGATACGCTTTGGGCGACGTCAGCTGGAGCATTGGTGGGATAGTGACCGAGACCGGCCAACCTTCTCGTTATGGAACGGCGAATGGGAGTTCTGGCATGAGTTTTAGTCAAATCGTCGAAGCACGCCATATAGCATATACTATGTACCCTTAACACGAGCAATACGAAGCACGAGATACGAACGAAGCTCGAGGCAAATGCCAGCGAGCAACAACAGTGCAGACAGATCGGAATTTATCGAGTTTCAAGGCAGTTTACACAAGTCGAATGAGCGACGCGCGCACGCGGACTCGAAGCGCTCTTCGCCGCACCCAGAGGCCCGCGGCCTCCGTTCCCCTGCTCGCAGCAGGATGAGTCCAACAGCGGACGAACACGGACCTGCTCAGGAGTGTTAGGTACGTCGCCGATGCTTTGTCAGCAGTGGGCGTACCTAACTGGGATCCTCCTGACCGCAGATGGGTATATAGGTGCAGCCGCGAGGGACAGGGGCTGCACGCCTCGTCCCGTCTGACCTCCATCTGCGTTAGGTTCGTGCTAGCATTTCTGTCATGCCTCGCCAGGTCTGACCTCCATCTGCGTTAGGCTTCGAGTCCGTTTTCTTGCGCTTTTTTGTCGTAACAACCATCTATCGAGTCATTTATGTCTGGACAGGATGCGGGATCTCCTAGACCGTCTCAGGAGTCCTCCGCCTTTGATGCACAAAGGGTCGAAGCGTGTGGAACTGTCATCACGTCGTACCGACGCAGCGAGCTCACGAAAGCCGAAGCCACGCTTCGGCTCCTGGCGGTCATCAAACTTGAAGATGCCGCCGACGAGCAGGACCGCACAAGCCGTACGGCCGCGTACGCAACCTTCCTTGCTCAGCTCGATGAAGCAGAAAGAGCCAACAATCAAGCTGGCTCTCGAGGACAGACTGAGAGTCAGCCTGCTCCCCCTCAAGAGAGCCAAACGCAACCTACTGAGTCGTCTGAGCGAGAGAGGGACAGCGCCAATGATGGAGACGAGGAATAGCGACAGCGAGTGCATGATGATGGAGACGTTGACA